TAATGCCTTTTTGTTTTCCTTGCCTTCCTACTTGTCTTTCTTTTTCATGTGGTCAAAAGAAAGAGGAAGAAAGGAAGGAAGGGAAGGGAAGGGAAGGGAAGGGAAGGGAAGGGAAGGGAAGGGAAAACACAGTACATAGAATGTGGAAAGGACAGTTGACCTGGTGTGCCTTAGAGGCTGAGAATCTATTTTATGGTTGGGGAAACTGAGACAGAGAGAGGCTGAAGTGGTGCTGGAAGGGGCTTGAATCAGGCCTGGGTAAGGCCAAACTTGTGTTCCCAGCTGTACTGAATTGTCCCTTGGTGATGGGGGTTAAAAGATTCAAGGACAAACAGCCAGTCAATGAGTGATAGAACCAGGCTGGACAGGCTTTGCCCAATGTGTCAACCACGGAGAGGGGCAGGCAGTCTCATAGAGAACCTGGCTAAACATGGGGCCTCAGCATGTGAAAGAAGCTTCCCACCTGCCCCTCAGGTATATGGGCCTTCACTGGCCCACAGCCCACAAGCCTAGAAAGGAGGCCTGTGTCTTCCGCTGCCCGCTGAGCCTCAGGAGTTAATAATTAAGGGTTTAAGGAGATAGAGGCCTGTCTGGGAGGCCCTGCCCATGGGCCAGGGCTGCTGCTTCTTAGAGATAGCAAAGGTTAGTGTGAGGCTCTGCCTGGGGTGGGAGCAAGCTCTACCACTTGCCTTCCTGACAGTCTCCAGCAGGACCCTCAGTCTGGATTCCAGAAATGGATGCCTCAGAGGAGCCCAGGCAGTGCCCTGCCCGAGGGTCATGTCCCGTGTTCTTAGCCATGAGCTCAGGCACTGTCTGCTATGCCCCATCAGGTTTGGGTCCTGTACCTGAGAGGAACTTGAGAGAGGAGTCTTGGGGTACAAACAGGTGAGCTGGGGACCTGGGATACTGAAGGAAGGTGGGAGATGGGTCTTGCTACTACAGGGGTGTATATGAGGGGTAAGAGTCAGAAGATGGCTTTGAACAGTAGACTGATGCTGAACCAGGAGAAATTTTAGAAGCCTCTTACAGGGTCTGCACTCAGAGGGGAGTTCTGATTGTCTTGTCCAACTTAATGGTTAGAGGTAGAACTGAAGCTCAGAGAGGACAAGACACTCACTCATCCTGGGTCACATAGTGAGCCAAGGATAGACGTAGTTCCCAAATCAGGGACTGGCTAAGAGTAACAAGTTGGGGAGGGATGGCGGGGGGCATGGATGGAGGGAGACTAAGGTTCTTGGGCAGTAGACACATCTTTCATTTCTTCCTCCCCGTCTACCAGGCCAGGCACCTAGTGTTCAGTAACCCTCTGTGGGCTGGCTGTATCCACCTGCAGTTCCAAGTGGCACCAGAGACTTATGAGTTGTCTTTTGGGGAAAAGGATGTATATGATTCTAGCTAACCTCCACTAGCTAGCTGTGTGACATTTGGCAGGTTCTTAACCTTTCTGAGCTCATGCCTTTTCAGAGGCACAGCAGGGTTCCCCATGCTGCCCTGAGAAAACAGCGTGGCCCAGGAGTCCATAGAGACTAGATGTTTAGATGGCAGGATCTTTTGGGGTAGTAATTGCATGTCAAAACTCTCAGAGTGGTGACCACACACCTGTCCTTGAGGCCTCTGGCACTATAGACCTGAGCTGACATCGACTTTCCTTTATCTCCTGCTAATCTGCTGCCATGGTTTATCTTTGCCCAGACTTTCAAAGACTTAGAAAGCCAGGAGCCTGTCCTGGGCTCATTTTGTGTCAGATAGTGACCAGCACAAGGAGCAGGAAAACAGCATTTGCTCAAGGCTTAGCTGCGGAAGGGTTCAAATCAACAAACATATGTTGACATCTGCTTTGGACCACACCCTGAGTGGGCTGGGGTGGGTGGAGGAACACAGCTCCAAGAAGGGGTTGGTCCATGCCCTCTGGAAGCCATGATCTGGAAATTATTATCCTACAGAGAGTAAAGGGAACAAGAGGCCTGGGATGAGGGGTTCTGGCTAATTGGAAAGGATGCTGTGGAAGGCTGTCCAGATTCTTCACTGGACATCGTGTCTGCCACAGGAAAAGGCATGGACTCCAGCCTGACCTTCATTCACCAAATTCTTGTTATTCTTTGTCCCTGAGCCAGGAACAAGGCACTCTTCTGTTTTGAAAAGAGACATCATTTGTTGGTAAAGGTGGACCCTAGGCAAGTGAGAGCCCTAGCAGTAGAGGCCCTTGAGAGTATGCCACCCATTCCCCGTAAGCCAAACATGGTAGTACACCGCTGTAGCACAGCTACTGGGGAGCTGAGGAGGGAGGCTGGGGCTCCAGCCCTTGCATGGTTTTTAGACTGCTCAGAAGGGCCACCTGAATGAATGAACCATGTGGATGAGTAAGATGCATCCTGGAAAGCCCCAAGGTACTGTAGACCCTGGGGAAGGAGGTGGTCCCTAGCACTGAAGGACGGATCTGGTCCCTAGGCCTGAAAGAGGGTTTGGCTATGCTATGGGCTCCCTCTCAATTGGATCCTACTCAGGCTGAACCTGAGGTCAGTGGACAGCGTCAGAGGGACTGAGGGACTGGTGACCAGCAGCCAGGGATTCAGGGGAAGGTTTTATAGAGTTTTAGGTACCTTGGGCAGACAGGTGCTTGTGAAGGGGATGGGGTATTTTCCAGAGGGTAGCATGGCTGGAAAGGCAGGGATAAGGACACACTGTGTTCAGAGACACAAGGAAGAGATGGATGAGGAGACTTGGATAGACAATTTCCCCAGGATAAAGGCTCCAAGAATGAGACTTTTTTGGGAGTCTGCCCCAACCCCTTCCCACCAGCTCGTGTCACACAGGGACAGACAGATGACTGGAATGCCAGGTGAGGGGGAGAAGAGTGTCTGCAGGCTTTTGAGTGACAATCTGCACCAGAATCAGCGCTGAGACCCCCGGGAGTGGGAGCCACTGTAGGTTTTTAAGTGACTGGACAAGCCGAAGGGCAGCTCTGACTGCCGAATGATGGGGACCATTCCTCCCCCTCCTCCTCAGCTAACTGTCCTCACTGCAGCCAGCGGGACATGGGCTCCGGGCCAGCAGAGGGGCGGGGCGGGCACGTGGCCTTGGGCCGCCCCTTGGGCACGTGACCCGCCCAGGGCAGGGGCGGGGCGGGGCGGAGCCGTGCACCCCGGGCGGCCAGAAGGACAGACTGGCAGTAGAGCGGATTGACAGGCAGCAGGGCAGCCCTAGGTCCGGGCAGAGTTGGCGGGTGAACGTGGCTACAGCGGCGCGGGAGGGGACACTCGGGCGTCCCGAGGCGCCGGGATGTGGAACGGGTAGGTCCGCGTGCGCTGATGGCCCAGCACTGAGTGTGGGCCGCGCAGGCTCCTGGGGTGGGAGAACACGGGGTCCCTGCTGTTGTCTGCACCCCATTGGGAGATGCCCTGAACTCCCAGCCCTGTCTGCAGTCCCCAGGGGTGCATTGGAGCTGGAGGACACTGGCTGGAGTGATCCGAGTTGCTCCCGGGGTGGGGAGTGGGAAGGGTGCCGACGCCAACTCCTCGTAGCTCAGCTAGAGCGCAAGGGAGAAGTGGGGGAAGCGGGTGGTAATACCAAAGTAAATCTGGGGCATGCATTTAAAGGAGGAGGACACTCCCCACCCAAATGAACTCTGGGGAAGCCATGCAGTTGGAAAAGAGCTGGGTGTCTTCAAGGTCTCTGGCCATTTGGCTGGAACCTTAATCTTGGGGTGGGTGGTGCCGTACTGGAGGAGGACAGCACAGACCTTGAGTCCTGGGTGAGCCCTTTCCTGCCACCCCCCTTCATTGGTTCTTCAGGATGGCTCCTGTTCTTGCCCAGTCTAATAGGAGATCCTGTCCTGTGTTCACAGAGATTGCAGTCCTTTCTTGGAGTTGGGCAAACACCTCCTCCCCTGCCTGCAAAGACTTGGTCCTGGGTGGTGTTCCTACAAAGGCTGTCCCAGGATAGGGCTGTGCCCCAACAGCTGGGGAGGGAGGGAGGGGAGCAGGTGGGATTATTTACTAAGGTGAGATGCTGAGAAATAGGGTTTTCAGCCCCAGTCAGGGTGCCAAAGGCCAGTTGCTGTGGGAGGTGGGGAGGCTTGAGGCTTTTAGAGGGAGCAGAGGCCACCTTGTATTTGTTGGAATTTTGCCCCCAAGGAAAGAGGCTAGACTCAGAGAGAAAGTGGTTGGGATGTGTTCCTGACGCCTAGAGAGGTTGGGGCAATCCTGTTTGGGAATAAATGTACTTGATATCCTGTCTGGGACTGTGTGTGTGAGGAGCAGCCTGTCTGAAGGAAGCTGTGACCCTTTGTGCTGAGTGTATGGAGGCAGTTGCTGTGTGACCTTAAGGGTGCAGCCCTCCTTCTCTGGGCTGGGGACTCCATGAACACTGCATTGTGTGTGTGTGTGTGTGTGTGTGTGTACACATGGTGGCCAGAGGATGTCTTCTATCCCTCTCTTCCATATTCCCTTGAGACAGGGTCTGTCACTGAACCTGGAGCTTGATGCTTTTAGGGAAAGCGGATGGCCAGCATGCCCGGGAATCTATTTCAACCCCCACTACCACCTCCTCCAGCACTGAGGCTACAGGTGCTACATGGCCACACAAGACTTGGTGTAGGTGCAAGGGATCTGAACTCTGGTCCTCATGCTTCTGCAGCAAGCACTCTTACTCACTGAACCGTCTTCCTAGCCCCTAGATCCTTCTTTTGGACATGGATTCAGAGACTTAGGGATCAGAGTCAATTTCAGCATGCACTGGGGAACTAGGGGCCTAGACCTCACCTGCTCCCTGCAGCAGTTAAGGACTATGCTCAAGGGCACACATTGCCAGATTACTCTAAGTGACGCCCCAGGAGCTCATGACAGCTCTAAGAGGTATATCCTAGGAGCTGTGGGTTTTAGCCTAGGAAGAATCAGGGGCTCTGAGGCTTGGCCTCTGCTATAAGATGAACTGAACTGTCTTTCTTGGGTTTCTGCTAATAGCAAGGTCCGAGTTTTAGGCTGCTCTTCTGGGAATGGGCAGAAGTGACTGGACTCTGTAGGAACCAGGAAAGATCTTCCTTAGGACCTCAGCACATGGGCCTTGAACTCTGAATGGAGTGGCAACTCTAGTCTGACTTTTTTTTTCTTTTTCTTTTTTTAGTGACAGGGTGTCATGTTGCCAAGGCTGTCCTTGAACTCTCTATGTACCTAAGGATGAGCTTGAGTGTCTGATCTCCCACCTCCATCTCCTAAGTGCTGGGATTACAGGCACGCACCACACCTGGTTTATGTGCTGCTGTGGCTCCAACCTCTAAGACCTAAGTCCTAGGAGACTAAGGACCCCAGGATGGGGCAGATAGGACTCCCTGTTGGGAAGGATTCATGCAGCCTCCAAGATCTACCTATCTGCCCTCACCTCAACAGGTGACGGTAGCTTGCCTGCTGTTCTTACCCAGAACATTTGTGTTCAGGATGAGAGCCTTAGTACAACCTACATGCTACATGTCCTAGACTCTCCCAGCCTCTGTGCTAGCTATGTACTCAATAGGCCTTGGGAAATGAGGAGGGAAGGACTCAAAATGAAATAGATGGGAAGGGGTGAGGCTGGCGATGGCATCTGGAATCCACCTTGTGCCTATGGAATTATTTAGGGCTGATGTGGAAGCTGGCACAATAGACAGCCTATCTAGAGTCCCTCCCTAAGAAGATCAGCTCTTCCTCAGCCAACTAAGGTTGGAGCCTGCTGTTCATTTCCACAGTTCTGAGCTGGATTTTTGTCTGCTTGAGTTTGCATGGGTCTTGTATATGCTGACACCATTGCTGTAGGTTTGTACAAGAAGAGTCCCAGGAGCCTGTAGGACTCTATTTCCATATGGTCACGCACCTCCTCCCTGGCTCTTACAATCTTTCCACCCCCTCTTCGGCAGTGTTCCCTGGGCCTTGGGTGGGTGAATTCTATTTTATTTTATTTTTAATTTTTATTTGTTTTTATTTTATTTGTATGAGTGTATTGCCTGCACATAGGTAGGTGCATCCATGTTGTACAATGACCACAGAGGTCAGAAGAGGGCATTGAATCCCCTGGAACTGGAGTTATGGATGGTTGTTAGCTACCATGTGGGTGCTGGGAATTGAACCCAGGTCCTCTGCAAGAGCAGCCAGTGGTCTTAACCACTAAGCCAACTCTCCAGCTCCCAAGGGTGAATTTTAATATAGGAGTCCTGTCCAAGGACCCACACTCTGTAGACTCTTATTCTCTACAGTTTGAGCATTTGTGACCTTTTGTATTCCTGGCCCTCTGTTGCATCATGAGGAAGCTTCATTGATGAGAACTGAAAGATGCATTTGCATTCTTTTCATCCCCTGTTCTGTGTTCTGTGAGCCTTGGGTGTAGAGGTTGCACTGTAGATGTGCCACTTAGGCTTGGGCAGTTCACAGATAATATCTGTGTATGACCAGTTGTGGAACTCTATAATAATTTCTGTCTGTTGAAAAAGAAGTTTCTTTGATGGATAGTGACTGGGATACTTGCTGTAAGTTTAAGGATCCATGTTTTGCACATAGTAAGAAATTACATTTGTCTAGAGATGTGGCAGCCTTGGGGTTTTCTCTTAAGATCTATGAATTCTCCAGTTATGTGTATTTGGCTAGGTTTACAGTACCATATATGAGTTTCCTCCCTCTGGAGGGATAGGGAAGTGGCCTTTAAGTCCAATTATGTACCTGTTGGTTACCTACAAGATAAAAGTGCCACTACTGCACCAATGTCATTTGCTGTGCTGTCATTGATGTGGTTATTAGGCCTTGGAGCTCAGGTTGGCCCATCAATTGATATTCTCCCTTAGCAGCTTGTGTGGTGCTCTCCAAAGCTATGAGAGCTAGCCTTAGCCAGCTAGCTAACCTGGCTTCCAGGTTAGTTCCAATTCCATTGCCCCAAATCCTGTGTCCAAAGCATGTCCTGTCTTCATCAGTAGGGTCTTACCTTCATGTTCTAGGAGGTAATCAAGGGCTGTGGCAATAACCTTTGTAATTTTGGGAGTCTCTTGGACTACCCTACCAACAACTCAATAGGTTTCTTTTTAAACATTTTATTATTTTTATTTTATGTGTATGAGTGTATTGCCTGCATGTATGTAAAGGCACCCATGTCATACAATGCCCACAGAGGTCAGAAGAGGATGTCGGATACCCTGGAACTGGAGTTACAGATGGTTGTTAGTCACCATGTGGGTGCTGGGAACCGAATCCTGGTCCTCTTAACTGCTGAGCCATCTCTCTGCCCCCCTATTTGGTTTCTTGATCTCTTTATCCCACAAGATCTGCTGCTGTTCCTGCAGCATCCACCCACTATCTACCCATCCCACCCCCAATGGCCCAGGCCCACCCTGTCTTTTGCCTCTTCCTTTGCCTTGCCTTGACTTGGCTTATTGAATTCTGACCGAACTCCAGGCCCTACCATCATCAAGACAAGATGTGCCTCCCATTCTAAGGGTCCCACTCTGCCACCCTGCAGCCCAGGCTCAGACTCTGGCAGAGTGCCTAGTGTCTTCCAACAGCTGCCACTGTCCTGCCTTTTCTTTTCAGCTACCCACTTCCCAAAAGTCTCAGCTATCCCCTTTCGCTTCCCTGAAAGACCCCCTCCCAGTTCCTCATTCCCAGCATGGCTTGGGTACCACTGTGCTCATTCACCTTTCCCTTGGTTTTAAATTAGTTTAGTTAATCAATTACTGCACTGCATATTTTGCCTGCCCTCCTACCCAGCTCCAGCTCTCCCCCTGCCCATGGACCCCCTACAATGTTTTGTCTGTATGTCCCCTGCCAATTCAGGCCTGCCTGGCCAGCACAGTAGCCCTAGGCATCACTCTACCACCCCCACCCTCACTTGGGCACTGTCTCCAACTTCCTCAAATGCCATCTGCATCCTGCCTCCCTTCTCTGAAACCACCATTCATTCCCTCTAAGGGGACAAGTCACATGGCATGCTGTGCCTGCATACTGGGGCTCAGTTCCCATCTTGCCATCATCTTGCTGTATATTCCAAGCCTGGTCATCAACCCTCTCTGGTTCTTGGGTGCCTTAACATTAAAATTAGTCTGGTGGGTGCATCTCACTATAGTGCTATCAAGATACCCATGATGCTTGGATTGGTGGACTGGTATGAACCTGACCAGGAACCTGGATACCCTGTGCTCTTATTGGTTTGGGACTGATGGGCTAAGCTTTGCTGGGCTTGTAGGCTACTCAGAGATCCAGCCTATAAAACCTTTCCTGTGACCTCATTGATGCCTGGATGTCAAACAGCCATCAACCTTAGTCCCCAGTGAGTCTGAACCCAGCCCCTGTGCCATGCACTACCCCTGAGAGTGGGTTCCAAGCAAGATTTCTGTAGCATCCTTGGGTGTAGCATTGTGCTCCCAACATGCCCTCCCAGCCTCTGCTTTTTCAGAGCTGTGCTCAGGGACCTCTCCACTGCTTATTTAATGAACCATTGTGGCCTGGAAGATGGGGGTCCTTAACTGCAGGAGGCACAGCAGAGAGGTATGCCTGGTACTTGCTTTACAAAGACCTCACATCAGGCGGGTCTTCCAAGCTGGGGAAGGGTGGAAGCTCAGAGGACTGTGAGGGATCTTATCCAGCCTCTGACCAGGCACTCCCTAATCCAGGAAGGGTTTTAAGTATTCAAGTAACTGACAGACCAGAGAGTGCAGGAGTCTTACTTGAGAGGTGATGAATGGGTAGAGACAACATCCCTGCTGTCCCTACAGGGTGGGTCTGGTGGACTAAGGATTGTAGCTTCTGCATTGTGTGTTTCCTGGGGAAGTGACCCAGGAGGGCACTTCCTGTATGTGAGGGCTCTAGGCTCCTGAGCCAACTTCAGGATGGCAGAGGGGAGGGGGGGTGCCGGCCACCCTACCTGCCTCTGACCTTGAATCTTACTATTTCCCACTCCTAGGCAGACTCGTTCTCTTTATACATCGTATCCCACCCACAGGGCTCTATTCTTGAACAGTATGGACTGAGGAGGTCCAGGGATGATAGGTTCTGGTCTACTGGAGACCTGAGAGGTTCACATACAGGTTTGAGGGTCTCTGGTGGAAAAGTCTAAAGTGTGTGGAAGATCAGAGATCCTGGCTCAGCTGGACCTAGGATCCCTCTTTCCTCTGAACTTTCTGAGTAACCAGAGCCTGCCTTACAGCAGGGAAGCAGGAAGGGAGGAGGGTCTAAGACTGGACTTCCCTCCTCCACAGGCTGTGCCCTTCTTCCCCTCCTGCCCCTGCCACCCAGGCCCAGGCCATGGGGCGTTGTTGGCTTCAGGGAACCTGCTGTTCCCTTGTTTCCTACCTTTAGTATCTGGCCTTGGGCTTTTCCACCAGTGGAGAGGGAAGGGTGTTATTACTCCTAGATTGTCCTCTGACTGATAGAGAGGGTCCCATAGAAGTGGACTAAAGTCACAGCCTGCAGGCAGAATGGTGGGAACTCTTCCATCTGGTCCCCAGTTCCTACCCTGAGACCCAGCCACACTGCTGAATAAAGCTCAGTATCTGGGGGAGGGCCTATGTCTTGTTCTCTAAGGCAGTAGGTGTGGGCAATGGCAGGGTGGTCCTCACATCAGGAAAGCACTGGGGCCTGGCTCTAGCAACCTGGGATCCGCCCCATGGGTCACCCCTCATCCTTGGCCTGCAGTTCTTACTCATTCTATTGAAGTGGACAATCTGTTAGGTGGGATGCCCTGCCTGACTAAGCCAGAGTGACTGTGGCCATCATTTCCTACCTTGAGAAGATGGTGCTGGGCCCCAGGTTTCCAGGAGATATCTTTACACTCCTTCAGGGATTCGGGTGCCTATGGGTTCAAATGTGGGACCCAGAGTCAGGCCAGGCATTGTGAGCATCTCTGCCCAGTGTGGGTGGAACATTATTCACCTGGTACTGTGCCAAGTGGCTCCTATTCGATTCTCACAGTGCCCCCTGCTGGCTTATACCCCATTCTGCAGAGGAAGAGAGTTTCAAGGACTTCAGACTGTCTCGGGCTCATTCCCACCCATGTGTATCTCAGGGCAGATCTTAACCATGGATTCTTCCTCAGCCCCCACCCAGGCCATCACTCCAGCCACAGTGGTTTCTGGGCCTGAATAGAATCTAAGAAGTCAGTTTGGGCTGAAATTGGGTCAGGTTCCCTGCTATAGCTCATGAGGAGCCTCCTGAACCCCCTGGGCCCAGCAGCCCCTGATCATGAGGCAAATGTGCTATTTCCAACAGTCTCACCCCACACCAGGGCCAGTCAGCCAGAAGCTGGGGCCCAGGCTGAAGACCTGGCTGTCTGTCTCTACACTACCTCTAACCAGCAGTGAGACCCCAGGAAAGTTCACCCAATCCCCTCTCTCTGATCTTGCATTCCTTATCTGTAGGATGGGAACAAGACTACAAATGCTGTGGAAAGCATATTAAAAACACAGCGTGTGGGGCTGGCAAGATGGCTCAGTGGTTAAGAGCACTTACTTCTCTTCCAAAGTACCCAAGTTTGGCTCCCAGCACCCATGTTAGGCAGCTCACAACCACCTGTTGCTCCAGCTCTGGGAGATCCAATACCCTTTTCTAACCTCTGCAGATACCAGCACACATGTGGTATACACTCACACAGACACACATGCATATGAATAAAAGTAAAATTAAATCTTTAGAGGGGTTTAAAAACAAATAAAAATAAATTTTTAAGGGGATGGCAAGATGGCTCAGAGATTAAGAGATGGCTGCTCTTGCAGAGGACCTGGGTTTGGTCCTCAGCACCCACATGGTGTCTCACAACTGACTGTAACTCTAGTTCCAGGGGATCCATGTCCTCTTCTGGCCTCTATGGGTAGTGCACACATGTGGTGCACTTACATACATGTAGGAAAAACACTCATGCACATAAAATATAATAAGTAAATTCTTAGGCTGGAGAGATGGTTCAGTGGTTATCTAATGCCTTTTTCTGGTCCTCTGCAGACACTGCACAACACATGTATACTTACATATGTACAGGAACACTCATTCACATAAAATAAAATTTCTTTAATTAAAACAATC